TATCTTTATTATGTCATTACATGAATGCAAAATTTCCTAGGATATTGTTTTCGCTACCCATTTATGACAAGACTCGTAATAAATAATTGTCATTCTTTTTATCATCTGTATTCATTATGTTTGTATAAAACAAACACATAATATGAGTAATATGATTAGTTTGAAGAGTAAGACCAGATTGATGAGTATGACTATTTTGATGAGCTTTGTGAGTTTGCCCAGTTTGGAGAATTTACTCGATTTGATCCGTTTGACTCATCCATATCATATAATTCAAATATAAATTCAAAAACAACAAAAATTATAAATGTCCAAAATGAATAACATATTTTAAAATGATAAATTATCTATTAGCAAGAGATATGTGGAGAAAGAAGAAAGCGAGAGAGAGAAGAGATATAAGAGAGAGAGGAGGAGATGAGAGAGAGCGCAAGAAAGGAGAGAGACAATGGAGCGAGAGGTGGAGAGAGAAGAAAACGTGAGAGAGAAGAGACAAAAGAGAGAGAGAATGAGAGGAGAGAGAGAGCACAAGAAAGGAGAGAGACAATGGAGCGAGAGGGGGAGAGAGAAAAAAGCAGGAGAGAGAGATGCAAAGAGAAGAAAGCGGAGGAGAGAGAGGTGGAGAGAGAAGATAGAAATATAATTTTTTTTATTTTATTATATTATATAAATTAATAAAGGGTATTATAGGGAAACTACATTTATAAGGTTATATTTGATGTTGTCTTTTTTCTTTTTTTTATGAAGGGTATATGATGAAGTCCAATGTATCATTTAAGGTTATTTTTGCAATTGGCCCCCTTCAAGTGGTCATTTGATATATGTATCTCGCATTTTTCTGGTTAAATTTGTTTTGATTTTTTTTTAATAAAATTTTTCAGAGATCTCAATAATTCGTTGATCGATGCATTTCGCATATCCGATCATATTATATCAGTTGAATAAAAAACTTAGAAATAAACAAATTAGATCAAATCAAAACCGGTGGAACCGGTGTTTGATTTCGTATAGTAAAAATTTAAAATTTATTTTCCAAGTTTATGGGAATTAGGGTACCATTTGAAGTCCAAGTTTCACATACACACCCAAAGTCTTATTGAATTGGTCCGACATAGAGACATTACATATTTACATGCCCAATGTCACCTTAAGTTCCAAATAATATAAATTATATTATATAATGCACCACGAATTTTCGAACTACACATTATTAAAAAAAAAAGTCGGATATACCATCCTAAAAAATTAAAAATGTCCAAAAGAACATATGGGGACATTTGCACGTCCTATAAATAATTGTGATTTTCTATGATTGGAAAATAACATTGTCGGCCTCACCCTGTTAGGTACGATACGTTCTGTCCATCTCTCCCAATTATATTTCATTATTTCTTCCATTATTTTTGTACGTTTATTGGTAATGATTATATATATATATATATATATATTCTCGAAAATAAAGTAAAATCTGCATCTAATATGTAATATAAATTATGTATAATCTATACATTTTTTTGGTTAGGTACTATACATTGTATGCGTACACCTTTTTTCCTCTATATTACATAATACATAACTGAATAATAATCATGACTATATATTATTAATCTGCTATATACAGTTTTATAAGGTTTACTCTATGATTAATTCTCTCGATGAGTTCCTCTTCTTTCTTAATCAAGATTAAGAACGTCATCCCATTGGGGCAAATCTTAACAAAAAAAAGATTAAGAACATTCTTTACCTCAAAACAAAGGATATGGAATTGGTACAATGTATAGCATAATATATTGCTGCAGAAATCCGGCGTGAGAGATTTAATAAATATAAAACAAAAACCCTAACTCAATTAATGTTTCTAGCAAGATCTTACGCTATGGCATATGCACTTAGATTATGGTTTAAACATTTAATTAATTAGCATCAAGGGCTTCGATTTAACACAAACTAATTAACTATGTTTCTTTAAAGTAATTAATTAAGTTTATGTGCAATTATTATTATTACTATTAAGTCCTCCATCCGAAAAAATAACTTTTTTTTTTGGTATAGTGTGAATTTATATATCAAAAGTAAAGTTCATCCGAAAAAAATAGTAATTTGTTTTTATAGAAAACAACAAAACTATTACGGTCCTCGTGTAATCATTAGAAAAATGTTTGATTATGAAATAGTTTATTCATATGTGGTCGGTAATATGTCGCTAATCTAATGATAAAATCAAGAAGGGGCCCGATTGACACTGTTTGAGGAAAGGAGAAAAAAAAATATCTTTGAAGATTCGTTAAATAAATAATTTCCATTAACTAACCAATCAGTGGCTGCTTTTTAATGAAATTAAATAATTATAAAATCAATAAACAGTAGAAATTAGAACCAAGGACAAAGCAAAGCACCGGCCATTTTTCGGAATAAGCGTAACGGAGGGCGCACCGTATGCATTAGAACACGCGAAGCAGAGGAACGTAGCACCGGAAACTCGTGTACGTGTGAACCCGCACGTGTGAGAAGTGTCGGTGGCGTCGCAGTTTGTAACTCGACGACAAGGTTAATGTGAAAAGGCAAAAAGAAGACTCACTGATTTTGGCGATTTTTTAACTCGCTTTTTTAGTAAAACAAATTTCGATATATATATATATATATATATATAATGTGCCTAAATTTATTATTTTGAAACCCAAAACTATATAAAAAAAATGTGTGACGAAAAAATTATAAAAAATGTGATCTATTAAAGAGTTCCCTGCTACAATTTGAATATGCTACACAACCAAAATATATTGTAGTATATTTTGATAGAATACCATACATCTTTATATATTTCGAATAATAAATCATTTAAATTCTAAAAAACTTTAAATTTTATTGCCTATCATAGAAAAATATATTGTTTTAATCTTTTGAGTGTATCGCGAATTTCTAGAACTATATTGGAAGCCGAATTTCATGTACAGTATAATATTATAATATTTCAAATTTTAATCACCGTTAATGAATTAGAATTTTTATAATCTTTATTCATTTTCTCTCATATATATAAAATACATTTAATCCTTTTCTCACGAATAGCTTAAAAATTAGAAAGAAATTACAGTTACATAATAATACTATATTTTATATTTAAATTTAAATTGTATTATAATATTAAAAATTATATTTGCGAATAGAACTGTAATAGTAAAAGCGACCCCAACAGATTTCCATGATCAAGCTGATTTGATATTATTCATAAATAATTCGCACCAAACCAAGTGATAAGACCCTAATTAATTAAGTAATTACTAGTAAACTAAGATTAGATGGGAAGTGGGAATTAATACACGTGGGACCGCCTACGCCGTTACTTAACGGTTCTTTTCGTTAACCTTGAACGGTCAAAGTAAGTTAAGCTTATTAATTAATTTGTACAAAGAATTTCATATATTATTAAATTAATTTTTGTTTCCAAAACAAAAAGAGATTAATTCAGTGGAAACGATTCCACGGAACTCGTCGTCAATCACGTCCACGTGTCGGTAGGCTAAGCACCCAGACGGTCGTCAAGACCAAGGCCGTCGATTAGATTCTCATGAATTTCCAGAAATACCCTTGTTATGACACGTGTAAAATACGAATTTGTCAGCTCCGAGAGGTTTACCTACACGTCTAAGCACCGGATCCATTTATTTATATTTTTATTTTAATTTACTAAAGAAAGAGTAATCTTTCTTCTCTGTGGGTGGAACATCTGCTATTTATAGTAAATAAAAAGGAGTATCATTGGCAACAGTTAAAATTGTATTGCGAATAGACATGCATTGGTTAGTATGTTAATTAATAATTGCAATTTTTGGGCATTAATTTATCGTTTCCTTAATTGTGTCCATATTATACATATTCCCTCTATACTAGGGAATTATTTAAAATCTAAAATCTGTCTATTAGTGGTAACAAAATTAGCAATTGCCACCAAATTCTTTATAGTAAGTTATTAACAATCTTCATTGAAATTTTATATTTATTTATACTTTTAAAAGAAAGAATCCAGTTAAAAGTATAAATACACTGACGACAAGAAAAAAAGAGAATAATATAAAATATATTACGTATATACGTACATAATGACGACAAAATATGTACAGATTGTAGTGGGTATATATATATGGGTGTATATGAGATATATTTGTGATGAATTGGCTGGACACTTGTTCTCTCTCTCTCTCTCTCTCTCTCTCTCTTTTTACTTTTATTATTCTTATTTTTTTTCCTCCACGGGTTCTCTGAAACTAAAACTAGAAGCCGGAACAGAGAATCGGGATTGTACCCTATCTATTTCCTCGCTCATATAACTAATTTCCAAACCGATTTTCTATGGAAAAAAATCCCACTTTCCCGAGAAAAAACCCGTGATTGATGCGAGGGGATTAGATCTAAAGTCAATTCAGATTCTTCGCCTTCTTGGATTGTGCTTCCAGGTAGTGTCCGGACGGTTCAGAGCTCGAAGAGGAAGTGCAGAGGATTCGTTTTGAACCCAAAGTCGGGAAATTTTCTTTAGGTTTCCCGGGAAAAGGAGAGACAAAAGGGAGAAAGGAAGAGTTTTTCTTTCGGTTTCTGGAACGAGGAGGGTCGTTTGATCTTTCATGGCACACGTGGCGAAATGGGTTTGACTCGCGTTTGATGTCCAAAGTCCCAGATTTTGTGTGAACGGCGAGAGAATTCGGACGTCAACACACTGTCTTTCTCCAATGGGTATGTCTGGTTTCTGATACAGATCCCTCAGAAGATCTACAGATCCATACTGTTCTTGTCGTGCCAACATATCACCAAGGGAAAGACAGTCTCTGTCCCTCATTACAGCTAAAGAAGATGCTCAAGATGAGGAGTAAACCCTCGACGCTTTCTCCGGCGATGGTCCCCGGCGGCGCCGGCGGAGATTCCGGCGGGAACGACTGGGAAATGAGACCAGGAGGGATGCTGGTGCAGAAACGGAACCCGGATTCCGACCGGGTCGGAGCTCCGCCGCCGCCGATCAGAGTACGGATCAAGTACGGTTCGGTATACCATGAGATCAAAATCAGTCCTCAAGCTACATTTGGTAACGCTCTTGTCCACTTTACCTAGTCAACGTGATGGAATGATGAAATTCTTGATTTAGATTCATAGCTTAGAGGAGCGGAGAACTTGTGATTAGAAGGGTTAAGCAAAGTAGATATGATGGGCAGGGGAATTGAAGAAGATGCTGAGTGGACCGACGGGGTTACATCACCAGGATCAGAAGATAATGTACAAAGACAAGGAGAGAGATTCTAAATCGTTTCTGGACGTAGCAGGGGTTAAGGACAGGTCGAAAATGGTGTTAATGGAGGATCCTATAAGCCAGGAGAAGAGGTGGATGGAGTCGAGGAAGAAGGCGAGAGAGGAGAAAGCTTCGAAAGCTATATCGGACATTAGCTTGGAAGTTGATAGGCTTTCTGGACAGGTATATATATATATATGTATATAATGTCTTCTTGAGATTTCAGATTCCGGGTTTCGTTTCTCTGTCTGAATCTTGGTTTTGATGGTACATTTGTTTCGGGTTTTTTTTCAGGTTTCGGCTATGGAGTCGGCCATTGAGAAGGGAGGGAGGGTTGAGGAGAAAGACTTGGTGAATCTGATTGAGCTTCTGATGAACGAGCTGCTCAAGTTGGACGGTATCGTGGCTGATGGAGACGTGAAGCTGCAAAGAAAGATGCAGGTAATATATACACACACACACGTATAGATATACCCATATATGTGTATATATCGTGAAGAGTGTTGAATGTTGGAAATGATCTTTGAGAAGGTGGGGAGAGTGCAGAGATACGTAGAGACCCTCGACGTGCTGAAGGTCAAGAACTCGACAAATGACGGAGAAAGACGAAAAACCGACGGCCCGATCCAAGAGACAAGACGGGAGACAGTAGTTTGTGAACCGATAGAGTCTCTTATTGACATGCCGATGTATGGAAACAAGAAGCGAGGGATTCAAGAACAAGATTCATATCATCATCATCAGCAGCCGAGGAATTCGGGTTTGGAGCCGAGGAATTGGGGTTTGGAGCCGTTTCTAGTGACCACGAAATGGGAGACGTTCGAGGCTACGCCTAAAACGTCGTCCACATTGTCGACTACCGATGACGCGATACCGAGTAGGTTCAAGTGGGAATTCTTTGATTGAAATGTCTTCGTTTCTCTTCTTTCTTGGTTATATGTTTATTTCTTGTGTGGATGAGTTTCTTCTTTTTTTGGCTTTGGTCACATCATCATCATCATCATCATCATCATCATCATCATCATCATCATCATCATCATCATCACCATCACCATCATCATGCTTTAGATGTAGTTAGAAGATTCATGTTGGTGTTGTCATTTATGATTGGTTTCGTTCTTGTGGGCCGCATGGGAAATAAACAGAGACGCCACAACAGTGATTATATATTATACATACCAAATGGCGATTTTCGTTTCTGAGATTCTCGTAAGTTTATCGTTACATTTTTAAATTTAAACAACGAAAATTTTCAGTTTTATTCCTTCTGATCCAAGGCACTGCAACCTTCATCACATAACCTCTCTCTCTCTCTCTCTCTCTCTCTCTCTCTCTCTCTCTCTCTCTCTCTCTCTCTCTCTCTCTCTCTGTAAACAGAATCTAACCTACAAAGTTAGAAAACACATGTAATAAGTGAACAAGAAGATCATCTACACGCTGCGTTCGAGGAGCTCTTCGTGGGAAGAATCTCTGCAAGTTGTACAAAAGAGCTAAATCCATTAAATTTAATTAATAATTACTGCCCATCAAATCATCTCATTATATATAAAACAAGAAAATCTCATCATCTAGTCCTTTTATCGTCACTGAATTATTTTAGGCTCATTTTCATTTTATCATTTTTTTCTAGTTTTTTTTCTATTGAATTTGAATTCCATTAATTGCCCGTTTTGATTTTTTTTATTAAAAAATATTTATTTATTTGTATAGATATTGTTGTGGTTCCCGGCCTTCGATCTCTCACCGATTCACTCCGATTTACCCTCGTTTGAACAGATCCGAAAAGAAACGGAGAAGAGAGAGAGACGACACGCGATATACGAGTTCAGTACCGAGGGGAACCTCGGTACCTACGTCTCGGGAAGAGGAAGTGGAGTATCTAGGGTTACAGCCGAAGAACGTCGCCGGAAACCGCCGTTGGCGGCCCCGGAGACACGCACACACCCGATGAGAGAGAAAGCACCCTCGGCCGCAAGAGAGAGAGCCAAAACACAAGTCTGAAGGAGAAACAAACCCTAGGGTCTCATTAATTCGACCCTTACAAAATACCCATTTTGCCCCTCGGACCTTCTGTCTTGTTCCGAAGCTTTGAAAGCTTCCACTTCGCCAAGAGACTTTGGGAAGCCGCTCCTCCATTTGGAGGCTTTGCTGAAGACACTCCACA